CTTTTATTTTTTTTTTTTTTTTTCTTCTTCCTAAAGGAAGAGACTAAGCCCAAAAAATGAATGTTTGGCTTAACATAGCTGTTAAGGCTCATCGCCTCGGCTGCCACACTGAAGCTTCACATGCATTGGCTGCTTTTGTTAGACTTCTGAGAGTCTCTCCTCCATGCATACACACTAATACACGTATATGATAACACAGACTTCAATAGTTCCACTGACTTCCATTTGGGAGCACATCTAAAGCCCATTTTGATGTTGGAGAAGGTATTGTTAATGCTACAGCGGCGGGTGAAATGTCTCATATTAGGGGGTGAAATGGTTGAGGGAGCCTCCCAACACATTAAGCCCAAAGCCTGCAGTGTGGATTGGAGCTGCTGAAAGCTGCACAAATCACCGTCAGGCTTACTCTGACCTGCAAATGGGGGAGGATGGAGAATTGGGTTGTGGAGATGTTTGTGTGAAGTTTGAGGGTTTTTAGATGTTAGAAAATTGCAGTGGTTTGGTGCAGAAGCAGCATTCAAAGCAAAGAATAAAGGTGGGTGGGATAATTGTTGAAGGTTATTTATCACAACCAGACCTAGAAGCCTGGGATTGCTTTAAACCACTGTTCAGCTATAGCAGGGAGGGTCTAAACGCAGTGCAGAGTCATCCAAGAGGCACGATAACTTGAGCCTGCTTTCTGCTATTGCCCCACCGGACTCCCCAAGGAGGGGGGAGAAGAGAGCCCCATGGTTTGCTCTCCAAGTATAACTTCAGACAGGTGGGAGATGCCTACAAGAAGAGTGTGGAAGAAGGGGGCACAGACAGGGTGCAGGAGTGAGCCTGCTCTGGGACACAGCTGAAAGGTGTTGATGCAGGCCTACACAGTTATGTTCTACAGGAGAATGAGGATGGCAGCTGGGAGGGTGCCACAGAAAGGCGGTGACTTTAAAAAAATCTCTTGTCGCTCACAGGTTACACCTAAATTGGAACCCCCATCACACCAGGCCTGTCCTGGATGAGAGAAAAGTCATCCAGTTTATGATCTTAGCACATGAGGAAGCATGGGATGCAGCTCAGGAGGAATGATAGTATGGTTGTACTGTTAGGTAGTAGTAACCTGCTTCACAGCTGAGTTTGGGGGGAGTGGGGGGGCTGGAAACCTGGCCAGTTTAGGAAAGGATCTGGTGTTCCTGAGGATCAGAAGTTGAACATGAGTCAAGAACCCCAGGCTGTTTAGGAAAAAGTGAATGCCATGTTCCAGCATATAAAGAGGAGTAGATCCCATAGGATGTGGGAAGCAATCCTTCCTTTTTGCAATGCATTTGCATTTGCAAGGCCTCAGCTGGAGTGGGGTGCCCATGTTGGAGGCAGAGCAGGGGCAGCTGGGCAGACGGGGATGGCAGAACACATCAGAGCTGTAGGAAATGTGTGACCTGTGAGGGGCAACTGGAGAATTCAGAGCTTAAGGGAGATGTGAAGAGCGATTTTCAAAAACACAGGTTTCTGTAGCAAGAAATAACCTGTTCACTGTGTCTGTGATGGCTGGGAGAGGAAATAGCAGGCTTAAATTGCGGTAAAGGAGGCAGGGTAAACAAAGTGTAGGCACGGTGAGACACTGAAATTGATGGCACAAGGAGGTGATGAAGTCTGCTGCTGAACATGTTGAAGATTCAGTTCAGCCGATCAGTTGGAGTAATACAGGCCTGCTTAGTTCAGTTTTGAGGGGAGAGGTGGATAATTCAGTCTTTCAAATGCCTATCTGTTCCCCATTTTTCTATGATCTCCTAACGCTGCAATATGTGTGAGTTGTACACTGGTGGCACGGTTTGGTAAGGCAGCAGGTGGCTGGTACAGATGAAATGTAAGAATGTCAAGTGAAAATAGCTTTTAAAGCAAAGGATGAGGAATATGAAATTGGGATAGAGGACTAGTAATGTAAATAAAACTTTAAAAATTGAACAAGTCATCAGAAGGCACATGTTACTTGCCCTGTTCCTCAATATGCTGCTTTTTTGGTCAGAGGAAAGTAATTATGTGAGTTTGAGGCTAAAGGCAATACCAAGTGTCTTGTGAACTTTGAGTGGCTTATCTGAAGGTTCAGCCTCCGGTAACTGAATCCTCAGGAGTGCTTTGCCTGAGAGAACGACAGAGAAAGAAGAAATGTTTCCTTCCTTTACAGAATAGCCTGTAGGGCCTTGCCCCAGTTTCCTTGAAGAACAGGACTTGGTTGTATAGAAAGCAGCTGGAGCTTGTTGAGAAAACTACACAGGTAACTAATAGAGGAAAAAGAGGAAACCTGCAGGACAGCCACTTGACTGTTAAAAGGTAAAACAAAGGTGTAATGTTGGCATACTAGGAGGGGCAAAAGTCAACTGCAAGAGAAAGGATGAAAACTGGTACCTGTCCATGTATGCACATAATCTGAGAGAAATAAATGAAAAACATGATATATAATAATAATGATGCTATCTTGCAGTAACTGCACTAAGACGTCCAGTGTGCCCCTAAATTATATAGTGGAGAGCACACAGAAAGGGGATTTGGACTACTCATGATATTTTTGTTTGGGTACTGTCAAGTCTTCTAGTAGACTGGCTCTGGGGCTGCTGCAAGCCCTGTTGCTTATGTTCAGTAACTCATCAGTCCAGTAGTGAGGGTATGGGTCTTCCTCAGCCCAACCCCATATCCGTCAAGAGGTGCAAGAGTTGACTGACCACTGAGATGAGTTTGCCTGTTAATTGCTGTCAGCCCTGGAAGGGTGCAGATGACTGCAGCCTTTTAAATGGGCCAGCAGTTTCAACATGGGATTTCTCATCAGAGTGCGCAGCCTGGGTATTGACATCCTGACTGGAGCTTTGTGACTTGCTGTCCTCAAGGACTTCAGTGCACACCTGAACATCAGCGGTGCTAGGCCAGCTCTTTACTTCTTTGAAGTAATGGTCTTCCTGCATTTTACGTGGTGTGAGCGCTCCTCTCTGGACAGTCTAGAGAACTTGGTGCACGTTCAACCTCATGCCAGAGGGGTTTTGGCTCATTCAGTTGCTTAGCTCATTCCCTTTTTAGGGTGGAAACTACCTCATGCCCATGGCAATATGAGGTTGTAAGGATCTGGTGTGATTTCATTCATTTTGAAAAGACCCGTCGGAAATCTGCTAAGCCAGCCTGCCAGCGGGTGAAATGAAAGAAATTCCCAAGCACGTGGGGTTTTGTGTCTTGAAAAAAAATTGAATCATAGACCAAAAAAAATGATGTGCTGAGGCTCCAGCCTCAAACTGGTCTTATTCCCAATAAGGGTTTTAACTGCGTGAACAAAACCAGCTATCCTCTCAGTCAAAAAAATGTCACTTCCATCCAAGGTGCTTGAAGGGAGAGCGCAGGAGAGCTGTTACAATTCGCGCGCAGTCTCATTAGCCTTTACCATTTTCCCCCAGTAGGCACGTGCTTGATTTGATTATAACAATGAAAATACAGAGCAGCTTCAAAAGACAGACCAGTCCTGGACTATCTGAACTCACCAAGGCTGTCCCCTGTGGATCAGACCCCAGTTTGTACTGTTTTCTTAAGGCAAATAAGACATCAGAAGTGCCTTTATTGGCAGTCGTTGCTACATGCCGGGAGCCTGCCAAGATTAATATACAAAACATTCCCCTCCCCACCTCCTGCTTTCAAAAAAGTAACCAGCATAAAAGTGTTATTCAATTACTACCCAGTCAGAAACCTCATGTTGTCAGAAGTTGTTACTAAGACGACGGTGGTTATTAATGATGTACCAAGTTGCATGCTTCAACATATCTTTGGAAATGATACAGATGTGTTTATTTGCAGATGACTGGTTAATTTTGCTTTGAATCAGTAAGTAATCTGCAGAGAACATATGTAGCAAGTAGCTAGGTATAATTTATTCATTGTTCCTTTAATCATTCTGTTTGTCTTTATTCCATATTGTCAGGTTTTCAGCTGCTATTAGTAATAAAAGCAAACTGAAAACCCGTGCAGCTGAAGATACAATTTTTTCAGCATTTTTCAAATGGGCAGGGGATTCATCTTTCCTTGGAATGAAATGATTTACTGCAACTACTGTCTAATGCAATACTATAAAATAAGTTAAAACCTTATAAAAATTTTAAGCACTCCTCTGAGGAAAGTGCATTCAAGTAATTTGCAGTATCTATGTAGCATTATCTCAGTCTTTTTTTGGTTGCTGGCATGGAGAGAAAATATCATCTCTAGAAATTCATCATCATGTCAAACAATAAACTGAAGCAGCATCAGTTAAACCTATTGAAGAAGATCAACGCTGTCATTTGACACCTCTGAGTTAGAGATGATGAATTAAAATTTCAGCATATCTCCATTTCTCCATATATTGTAGACTGACAACAGTTTATCTCCTAACTAAATGTATGCAAAAAAAACCCCAGTTAGTTTACCATCACAGCTATGATTCCTTTTTCACCAAGTGCTATTTTGTATGTTGTTACCTGTAAAACGTTTTATTTCCAATGGGATCTTTCTCCATTTTTTCCCAAGTCACAGGTTTTTTCATACAGCTATTTTGCACCGTAAATTTGGAGGCCTGAACTTTCTCAGGAATGTATGTTATTCTGGGACTGTTCCTTGGTCTGCTTTTCCAACAATTTCACTTTAAAGGAGTTATTGTTTGCTGCCTGAGCAATTTCCCAGGTGAAGTTGCAAATTCCTGCAGGACAAATTTTGATGTTTTTGAGACTTGTATTCCATAAGTCAGTCAGAATTTGACTCGATGTAAGAGTCTAGCAGGGATTGTGTGGTGTGTAAAATCAAAAATAAATCTGATGTTAAAGTCATGCCAAACAAGCAGAGGCATCCATTTTCCTCACCGTATGAGTCTCCTGTTAATAGAAAACTGTAAAGATTTGGGATATACCTTTACAAAAAATCTATGCATTTTTTCCCGAGAAAGTTTGCTCTCTGTCTCTCCAAAAGTACAATTTGTCCTACTGTTTACTGCTCTAATTTGAACTGAATTTATTTTGTAGTTATCCCTTGAACAACAGTGATCTGCATCAGTTCAACATTGAGGAGAATGGTGGAGCACCATATACTACAAAAATGCCTGCAAGGCACCACCACCACCACCGTCATCACCACCACCACGCGAATTATGGCGCCCTTGCTCCCGACAGCAAAGACATTGTTTCTGGAGTTCCAAACCCAAACAGTAAGTCCACTGCAGTGAGTGCTATTTCAGTAACTGCACTGCTTTCAGATTTGTCTCTGGCAAGAAGGGAAAGGAAAGGAAAGGAAAACAACAAGCATTTCAGTTTTTCTTCTCGAAGAACATGCTCCCTGTTATTATTTGCCAGCTTTGTAGTATGTGCAAATGAGACAAGATTTGCAATTTCCTGGCTTTGCTACGGGGTTGTGGGATTTGGTGTTAGATTGGTGTTCCATAGCTGAACAAATACTCAATTAGTCACAGATACTGAGTCTCTAGCCACTTGGCACAGGCTATTTTTTTCACTGTTACTATTTATTTGTATAGTTTCACAAGCTGGCATTGTCTTTTCTGATCTGCCCAACTGGCCTTTAGCCCTCATTGTTTGGATCTCACTCTCGCTTTCATGTCTGGGCATAAATAAGAGAAATTTCGGAGCACTGGACAAACAGCATCTTGCTCTTAGTTTGGGTAATGGGAACAATTCCTGCTCAGCCCTACCTGCCATGACGGGAGTACGCTTGCTTGCTCGGGGGAGAAATTCTTGGCTTGTAGAAAGCAAAGAGGAGAGAAGCCTGTCTGTTCCTGATGCAACCTCGGAGAGTGTGGGTGTCAGTCTCTGCTGCTGAACTTGTACGCGCTTTTTAAGGGTACATAGCTTGGCCGAGTGTTTGTAGGTTTACATGGGAACTGGAAGAGAAACATCCCAGCCATTGAGCAATCCCACTCCTTGCACTCCAAATTTATAATCTCTGCAGTGTGTGAGATGCTGAAGCTGTGTAAGAATTTCAGAAGATGGGCAAAACAAGGTATCATCTATTAATTTCCTTGCCTCAAGGGGACAGTAAGTTCTTCCTTTTGCCCGGTTTTTGCCTTTATAATTGTAAGTCACCCTGAGATAGTGGTCCAGTATGGAAACTTCCAGCCTGGGCAGTTAATCTGACAGCTTTCAAGTTCCTGAAACCAGGATCTTGTAACGGCTGGTGCTGGGTGACCTTGACCGTAGGCTGTCCCAGATCAGCAGTAATGCACAGGCACTTCAATCAGATTTTGTTTCAGAAACCCAGAAAGATTTTCTTTCCATTTTCTTTCCCAAGGAGAGGGGGATAGCAGTTTCTAGGGGGGAAGCTCAAGAAATGAAATGCGAGGCATTGTAGACGTTTAAGGAAGGAATACGAAGCAGCAATACGAATTGCTTGCTGGGGCTTCCAACGAAGCTTCTCCCTTGGGAGCAGCCTCCAGGAGACGTGCTGTGCTCCTCTGTACCCAAGATGGGTACCCACCTTGGCCCGTGGTCTGCAGCAGCCGGTGCTGGCCAGGAGAGGGGTGCAGACCCCCCCACTGGGGAGCTGCTGGTGGGCAGCTCGCCCTGGCCACACACCTGCAGGGCTTCGGC